ATAAAAAAAAGAAAAAGATAAATGAAGACAGTAATAAGTACCAGGAAAATCTTTATTAAATGAACTATCCAGAAAATGAAAAAGAAAATAATTTTTGGCTTGAAACATTGGAACGTTTTCTTAGTTTTCTAGATTACTATTACCACAAGAAATCCTTTACTGACAGCTGTTGCAATGGCGGGTTTATTAAAAATTTCTTGGATTGTATTTTGACTGCATTAGAATTAGAAAGGCTGAATGGGTGTTCAGTAAGAATCTTTAGATTAGAAAGAGATTGGATTAGAAGCATTCTATCTTCTGATGTTAACGATGATTAATTTTGGGAATGTGTGAGTCAGTTCAATAACAATAACAGATTAGTGATTTCTCATTTAAAATTGGACCTGGAGCCTAGTCCAACAAATATGGGCCAACACATCTGACAGTGCAACAGAATAGGCAACAGTTGCTACACTTCTGTATCAATGTTAACTTCTGTATCAATGTAACTTTCTGCACATCTACCAGCTCACAGAGTTGAGTAATAAATTATTATACAGTATTTGTAATCAATCAAATATTGACTGACTTTGCCATTTTTTTTGTTCAGTTTTGTCAGTGATGCTTGTAACGCTAAGAATGTTAGCTGATTTACTTTGGAATGTTGACAGTCATAAATAAAACTGAATTAAAAAGTGAAAAAAAAAGAAAGACTCAGTTACATTCAATAAGTCAGCATCATGGAGAGAAAACAGGAAAAAGCATGCCATCTGGAGCTAAAAATTAGTTTCCTATTGGTGCTGTAACAATTTACCACAAATGTGGCAGAATGAACCAATAGAAACTTATTCTCTCATGGTTTTGGAAGCCAGAAATCCAAAATCAATATTGCTGGACTTAAAGTATTGGTTACTTCTTGAGACTCGAGGGGGGAATCCATCTAGCTTCTGGTGGCCCAGGTGTTCTTTGGCTTGTAGCCACACCATTCTAGTCTCCGACTCTGTCTTCACGTCATCCTCTCCTCTTCTGTGCACCTAATCTTCCTCTGCCTCTCTCTTATAAGGACATTTATGATGGTTTTAGGGCCCACACAGTACTGGATAATTTCTTCATTTTGAAATCATTAATTCCTTAATTTAATCACATTGACTCGGACTCTTTTGCAAATAAGTTAACACTCGTAAATTCCAGAGAATAGGATTTGGACACATCTTTGGGAACTATTATTGGCCTATTTCAGGTTGTATAAATGAAAGAAAGTGTGACAAGGGAGGTGATAGTTCTACTTCATTCAGTTTGAATTATTTGTTCATTTTTCAGCCACACATTCCTCAGAGGGATGGAGAGGATTTGGATCCTTCTCACAGAGCATAAATAGTATTATGAAGAGCCATTTAAGAAATGGACAATGGAAATGTGGAATCTGAGTGTGGAGAAGAAAGGCCTGAAGGCAGCAGGATAAGGTCTGTGATTGGAAATACTGAAGGGCAATGGAGACCAGCTGGGACTAGGGCTGGAGGGTGGTCAAGGCTCCATTCCATGACCTTTCTGTCATCGCCTGATCCCTGGATTCAAACCACCACAGACAGAATATGTTTTGAAAAAAATTGCAGCTGTACTGAGCATGCACATATTTTTTTCTTGTCATTATTCCATAAGTAATACAGCATAACAAGTATTTTCGTAGCATTTACACTTTATTATGTGTTTTAAATAATCTAGAGATCGTGTAAAGTATATGGGAGGACGTGTGTGGGTTATGTGCAAATATTATGTTATTTTATTTTTCTGGTACTGAGGATCGAACTCGGGATCTTGAGCTTGCAAAGCAGGCGGTGGAACCACTGAGCTAAATCCCTGACCATTATGTTATTTTATATAAGGGACTAGAGCACCTGAGCATCTCTGGTGGGGCCTGAGACCAAAGGATGAATATATATCTGTCATCACTAGGGACCTCCAGAGGAAGGGAGCTTGGAAGAGATAACCCTAGGGCAGTGATGGTGAGCCTTCTAAAGCTTTCAATGATATAAACAGCCCACTGAGGCATGTGTGCCATAGGTGTGCCACCACTGTCCCAGGGTTTCATCCAGCCCCTAGCTCCTGCAGTTTAAAGGAATTTTTCATCTGTCAGGGAGATTGACCCTCACATTGGTCTCAGTAGATGGAGACTGAACATTGACAACTTTGGGACACTGTAGGATTTAGACTCAACTCCAGGAAAATTATAGGGCCATAAGATTTAGAAAGGGAAAATGTCAAGCTTCAACATATTTTTCACAGAACTCTATGTGATCATTTAAATAAATGTAATCATTGAAGAAGTAACCCAGTACCATAATATTAGGTATAGTATTAGGAAGTATTAGAAGGCAATTAAAAATTGCCTGTTGCCCAAAATATTTTTCTAGCACCATTGGAAGACTTTTAAGATTGCTTTCCTGAGGCTATAAACAATTTTATATAAAAACATATGTAGAGAAACATGTATTTATTAAAACTATAAAAATAACTATACTGTGGGCTTTCTGTATCTACAGATTCTGTATCTTTGAATAGAAGACAACCTTTATGTGCCTCATGCCTGGTAAGTCACTGACCCTTGATGGAATTATTGGAGCAACTTCTGTGTTGTTTGTCAGGCTGCAAATGTTGATCTTGGGGACATGGGAAGTTTTGGCTAAGAGACAGTTTCTAAGTGCTCTGGTGTCAGACTAGAGGCCAATGTGCCTAAAAAGGCCAAATTCCTTAAAAGAGTCCAGGATATATCTGTGCCTCTGGGTTTCCCTCCTTATATTGCCCTTCCAGTGTTCTTATATATACCTATGTGAAGATGAATTAGAACTCAGAGTAAGTTTATTTTAATTTACTAATTCATTCAGGTTATACCCATTATTTGAAATAAAGAATTAAACCTGTACTGTGAGCCCATCATAGCTTTTATTTTCCAGTACCAGTTTGTTTTCTTTTACAACTGCCATCCAGTTTTTTGCTTATATACTCTAGGATGAGGACATTTAATTACCATACCAATATCATTACTCTGCAACGCATGGGTGAAAGGATACTGCTACCTGAACTCTGAACCTCTTGGAAAATGTGTCTTATGGTGTTTTGAGCCAGGAAGTGAAAAGATAATTACAGTTTATGAGATAATACAGTTATGAGAAACACAGATAATACAATTTATGAGAAAGAATGCAAATATTTCAGTGCTGCCTGTTTAATAGCCAGGTCACTGAGGAGATTTCAGGAGCCAGGAAAAACTCACACTTTCCATGATGCCATCGAAGCAGAATTAAGGCCATTTTCTCTTAAAAATTTAAAAGATTAAACAAGTTGTGGTATTCTGTAATTGTTTTTGCCCCACAATATTGTAGATGTTATTTGCAAATGAAACTTGTATAATCAGTGTTTTCAAAAGGCCCCTTAGTCATAGAAGAATCTTATGATGGTATGGCCCAGTTAAAGAAGTGTCTGATCTAGTTATAAGGATGTATTTGGGGGAATCTGTTTGGCAGATTCAATCTAAGTTATTGGTCAACGAAGACTTGAAGGCTTGCTGTATGAAAGCCCCATGTTGGGAACCCTGTAGTCTAAAAGATAAAGAAGAAACAATACCTTCCTTTCAGGAGCTTACAGTCAATTAGAGGAGACAGGTTTGTAAACAATCAAAGGTGATATAAAGTAAAACAGAGTGCAGTAGTGGTGGCGTCCTAGAAATTTCAGATCTTTGCCCTCCAGACCCCTTTCTGAAAGAAGATGCCATACTGCTTTGCTATCTCAACAGTGCTCTAGTCTGGTTATTTATCAACTCCCATGAGTCATTGGTTTGGGACATTAGTGGGAAAGGGTGCAATTTCCCAGGAGCCAGAGACAGCCCTCAGGAAAAAGCCCTAGTGTTGGCTTTAGCCCGCCACTAGATTGGTGTGGCCAAGGGGAATAAGTAGGACATGGAGTGGGATGCCCACAGCCTCTGCTGAAAGGTAGTCCTAGACTGCTGGGATGTCACCCCATAGCCATAGTTGACTGGGCCAAGTGTACACCTGACTGAGGAAGAAGCAACATTGCTGAGTTGAGAAAATGAGATTCTCTAGAAATGTGAAGAAGTGACCAGAGTCAGAGTGAGGTGCCAGAGTGGGATCCGGAGCAGATACCACAGAAAGGCCAGAGGCTAGGGTGGGTGGAATGTGGACAGACAGCTGGACCCTTGACAAACATGACAATCTGTGGAGAGAAACAGGTGAATGGAAGAGAGAAGAAAGAGAGAGTGAGAGCTGAGTCTAGAAACCTTGCGGGGACCACAGGCCTTGAATTTCTGCTTGGTGGATTAGGACCCTGTGTGATTCAGCTGTCCATTGCTTTCTCTCCTTAGATGCTGGTGAGACTTCCCAATGTCCCTTCCATGTACCTTCCCTTTACCTAAACTGGCTTAAGGGGATATTTGCTTCTTGCATCGACCAAATTCTAACTAGGATGAAAACACCATGGGCCATAGCACAAGAAGTGAACCAGAAGTGAAGTTTGGTTTGGGGCTCAGTGCATGAAGAGTTCTTTGCAAAGAAGCAGTGGAGAGGGTTCGATCACAACCAACAGATCTCTACTATGAGAATCAAGAGATATTTTTTTATGAGCATAATGTCTGGGCTGGACATGAGTGTGAAGTGGAAGACAAAGCTGAAGTTTCTTTTTAAATATTTTATGAAAAAACAAAACAAATTTTTATAACAAAATAATAAGAATAACAATAGTTAATACACTGTGTATCATTGTCTTCAAAGTAGTTACTCTGAGTGTAAGACATAGACAAAAATGATTCTCTCTTACAATGAAGAAGAAAACAAAAAATACCACAAAACTTTCTTTTCAATGAACTGAGAAAAACTAGTAGTATAAATGAAACAAATTTGCATGTATATTAAAGTATTTTTCAAACAGTGGAATAGGTAATTTGGGGAATTATTTGAACTTTTCCCTACTTCTTATTTATCTACCTTTATTTGTGTATGCATATATATTTATGGATCTATATGCATATATATGAGTTTCTCATATAAGAGAAACCATGCAATATTTAATCTTGTACGCATGACATTTCACTTAATATTATGTTCTCAAGGTGCATCTATTTACCTATAAATACCTTAAGTTTCACTTTATGGCAGAGTAGTTCTACTACATTGTGTGTAAATACTTTTTTCTTATCTGTTGAAGGATATATATTCCTCTGTTGATGGACATATATTCAGTTTCCAAGATCTGGCTATTATGAATTATGCTGCTACAAATACGAGTATCCATGTATTCCTGTAATATGGTTATTTTAACTCTTTTGGGAAAATACCTAGAAGGAGAATAGCTAGGTCAAATGGAATTTCTATTTTTAGCTTTATGAGGAATCTCCACACTGATTTCCATAGTGGTGGTACTAGTTTACATACCCCACTAACAATGTAGAAGATTTCCTTTTCCCTCACATTCTCACCAGCATTTGTTATTAATTTTTTCCATTAAGTTTATTGGTACACTTTAGATATGCAATACAGCTACATTTATCATTGGGATCTTGTACCTTTACATGATGTAACTTGGTTCTTATTTTTTCCCCATTTCCCTTCCCTCCCTTCACCCCCTCCCATCTTCCTTATTTACAAAGACTTTGTTTCCATGTTTTTCTTTTCTCATATTTTATTATTAATTTTTTTTATGACAGCCATTCTTTCTGGGGTAGGATGGTATCTCAGTGCAGTTTTAATTTGCATTTCTCCAATGACTGACAATGTTGAACATTTTTTTCATGTGTTTACTGGCCATTTGTACTTTTCCTTCTGAGAAGTGTCTATTCACTTTGGTTGTCTGTGTTTTGATTGGGTCTTTATTTTGTGGAGTCTATTTTTTTTTTGAGTTCTTTATATATTCTAGATGTTAGTCCTTGAGGATAGTTGGCAAGATTTTTTTCCCATTCTGTAGGTTGACTTTTCATTCTGTTGTTTTGTTTACTGTACAGAAGCTCTTTAATTTGATATGATCCCATTTGTTATCAGTATTATTTCTTTTCTTTTTTTAAAAATATTTTTAAAATTCTTTTATTGGTACATTGTAGGTATACAACACAATTACATTTCTCATTGGGAACTGTACCTTTACATAATGCATCTTGGTTCTTATTTTTTCCCCATTCCTAGCCCTCCCTTCACCCCCTCCACCCTTCCCTATTTACAAAGACTTTATTTCCATTTTTTCCATTGCTCAGTATTTTTCCTTTCCCTTCTTTCCTTTCCTCTGCCCCTCCCACTACCCCTACCCCTTTGGACCTTTTCTTCCTATTTTGCATTAACGATTCTTCATTCTAATCATTGGTACATTTTAGGTATACAACATAATGACATTCATCATTGGAAATTTGCACCTTTACATAGTCTCTCTTGGTTCTTATTTTTCACCCTTGCCCAGCCCTCCCTTCAACCCCTCCATTCCTCCCTATTTACAAAGATTTTGTTCCTATTTTTCCATTTTCTCATATTAATCCCATTCCCTTCTATCCTTTCCCCTATCCCTCCCACTTCCTTCCCCTTTGCCCCTTTTATTCCTATTTCACATTACCTATTATACATTTTAGTCTGGGATTGTTACCCAGGATTGCTTTTCCTAATCTAGGCTCTTCTTGCTCCATATGAATTTTAGGATTCTTTTCTGTAGATCTATGAGAAATGCCATTGGTATTTTAATTGGAATTGTATTAAATCTGTATATCAGTTTTGGAAGTATAGCCATTTTGATTATATTGGTCCTGCCTATCTAAGAAGGGAATTATCTTTCCATTTTCTTATGTCCTCCTTGATTTCTTTTTACAGAGTAATGTAATTTTCATTGTAGAGGTTTTTCACTTCCTTGATCAAGTTGATTAAATATTTAATTTTTTGATACATTATGAATGATATTGTTTTCCTAATTTTTTCAGTTAATTATTAGTGTATAGGAATGCTATTGGTTTTTGTGTATTTATTTTGTGTCTTGCTACGTTGCTGAATCTGGTTATTAATTCTAGGAGTCTTTTGGTGGAGTTTTGGGATCTTGTAAGTAAAAGCTCATGTCATCTTCCAATAATGATACTTTGACTTTGTCCCTTCCTATATGTATCTCTTTTCTTTCTTTCTGTTGCCCAATTTCTCTTGCTAATGTTTTGAGGACTATGCTGAAAAGGAGTGGTGATAATGGGCATCCTTTTCTTATTTCTGATTTTAAAGGGAAAGCTTTCAGTTTTCCCCTATTTAATAGGATGTTGGCAGTAGGTTGGTCATAAATGGCTTTCATTATGTTGAGATAAGATACTTCTACCTATGTTCTTCAGAGTTTTTACCATGAATGTGAGTTAGATTTTTGTCAAAGGCTTTTTCTGTGTCTATTGAGATGATCATATGTTTTTTGTCCCTGGTTCTATTTTTAATGAATTACATTTATTGATTTGTATATGTTGAACCATACTTGCATCCCTGGGATGAAGCCTACTTATTTGTGGCGTATCATCTTTTCAATGATTTGTTGCATTGTGTTTAACATTATCTTGATAAGGATTTTTTTGCATCTATATTCATTAGAGAGATTGGCTTCTAGTACTCTTTTTTGGGTGGATCTTTGCCTGGTTTAGGGATCAGGATAATGTTAGCTTCTGAGAATGATTTTAAAAGTACTCGTTATCTCTCAATTTCATTATAAAATTTGAGGAGTATTGGTGTTAGATCTTTCCTGAAGTTCTTGTAGAATTTGGTTGTGACTCCATCAGGCCTTGGGCTATCTTGGTAGTATTTTTATTATTGCTTCAATTTCATTGCTTTTTATGGGATTATTCAAGATTTTTAAGTCTTCTCGGTTAAGTTTTGGTAATTCATATGTATCTAGGAATCTCCATTTTTTCTGTCTTCTCCACCTTTTGGGCATATATGTTTGGGAAGTAGTTGCTAATAATTTTCTGTATTTTGGTGGTGTTTATTGTGATTTCACTTTTTAAAATTTCTAATTGCACTGATTTGTGTCTTTTCTTTTCTCTCCTTCTTTTAGTCAGATTCATTAAGGGTTTGTTTATTTATTTATTTATCCTTTCAAAGAACTGCTTCTTCAATTTATCAATTTCTTGTATTTTTTTTTTAGTCTTCATTTTATTGATTTTTGTTCTCATGCTTATGATTTTCTCCCTTATATAAACTTCGGATTTGGATTGTTTATGTTTTTCTAGGATCTTGAGATGCATCATTAGGTTATATATTTGGATTTCTGTTTTTCTGATATGGGTATTCATTGCTATATTTCTCTCATAGGACTGCTTTCATTGTGTCCTATAAGTTTGGGCATGTTGAACTGGTGCTATCATTTAACTTTAGGAACTGTCTTATTTCTTCCTTAATTTCCTCTGTGACTCATTGATTATTTAAGAGTGTGTTGTTTAACTTGCTCCCACCAGCTTGAACCACCAGTGGTACATGCATGACTGTTCCATCAGGCAGCTTGTATCACTGGTGGTACAAATGGATCTAATAACTTTTATTGGTCTTTTTACTAACAAAATTAATAAAAAATCTATAAATGAACCAAATATAATTAGTTGTTTGTTGCTTGAATTTTAATAAGTACTACCCAAATATGCATATTAACTATCACTATTCATGCCAATTAAAATTATTACAATAATCAACACATTTATTTTATTAAATTAAAAGAAATTTATTTAAATTCATGAATCTCTTTGAAACATTTTATACATAAAGGTGGCTGATTTGTGCAGAGTGCATAAAATGTCATAACACATTTGACCTTTTCTGTGGCCACAGCAGCACTCATTTTTTCAGATAATCTTCAATAACATTCTCCACATTTCTTCAATCTAAATAAGCTTTTATAAAGTGAATTTTTTGAGTAGTTTGTGTTTGTGGCAGTTTTTCACAGATTAACAGTTTATCAATAATTAATTCTCTTAAATTTTAACATGGAAATCTTATAAGTACCTCATTGCTGGTGTATATAATATACATTTACAGATGGTGTATCACAAATTAGCTGCATTACAATTTTTTATACTATTTTAATGTTTTCCTTAAGAAACTATAATATGATTACATTTGTTCTGCTAAATCAATGCAAGCCACCTGGTGGAATAGTCATGCATGCACCACTGGTAGCTCAAGCTGTTCCATGGGATAGTGAATTCAAATCAGAGGAGCTTGCCAGCAAGACATGCAAATTATGGCTGTAGCATGAATGTGTTAATTTCCATATGTTTGAATAGTTTCTGTGGTGTCTTTTGCTATTGATATCTAGTTTCACTGGACTTTGACCTGATCATATGCATGGTAAAATTTTGATTCTTTTACATTCATTTAGGCAGCTAGTATGTTGTCTATTTTGGGGGAAAGTTCCATGTGCTACCAAAAAGAATGTGTATTCTGTTGTTGGGTAGAACATTTTGTAAATAATGGTACCTCTGTTCATGAATGCTTTTGTTGTGAACAATTTGGTTCACAAACAGGAGCATTTGGCAATAATTTGTTTTTATTTGCAAACGCTGCATTGGGTGACAAACACAACTGTAGTCATCTTTTTTGAATAAACATGAATGTGACCATTTTCCCCAGAATCATGGAATGAATTGTTAGTGAACTGACGTACCACTGTATGTCTATTAAGTTAATTTGTTCAAAGTTTTGGTTCAACTCTGATATTTCTTTGTGGCCTTTTTTCTTTAGTTGATCTATTTGTGATGGAATATTGAGGTCTCCTACTATAATTGTATTGATTTTGAATGATCTTTTGTGTCTATTAGTGTT